AAAAATTAATAAAAAAATTTTGAAATAACAAGAAAGGAATGAAAAATTATTCTAATTAAATAATAAAATAAATAACAAACCCTAAAAGTCTTCGAGCAAGATAAAGGAAAGGTTTTTCAAAGTTATAATTAGATTTAGCAGAAATATCAAAATAAGGAATATTCTTTCTACGATGGAAAGAGATTTGCTTAGCACGAACTTTTCTGTCTTTAACATCAACCTTATTACCACAAAGAACCATAGGAATATTCTCACAAACACGAACAATATCTCTATACCAAACAGGAACATTTCCATAAGTTTCAGGAGAAGTTACATCAAACATAATAATAGCAGCATCACCTTCAATATAATATCCATCTCTAAGTCCACCAAATCTTTCCTGTTAAAATTTTTTATTTTATTTTTATTTTAATTTTTATTTTTATTTTTATTATTTTTATTTTTATTTTTATTTTTATTTTTATTTTTATTACCTGTCCTGCTGTATCCCATACGTTAAAGCAGATTGGGCATTTTGTTGTGTAAAAAACAAGTGGATGAACTTCAACTCCAACAGTTGCTATTTTTGTATTTGATTTATATTAATTTTGTTTAATCAGTTTTTTTTCTCCTTTTTAATTTATTTTCTTTTTTTTTTTCTCCTTTTTATTTTTTTTTTAATCAACTTACCAATATATTCTTTACGGAACTCTCCTGAAAGATGTCTTTTTACAAATGTTGTTTTGCCAACTCCTCCATCTCCAACTAAAATAATCTTGAATGTTGGTGTGTTTTCTGGAATTTCGTCTGTCTATTTTTAATAATTAATTTTTTTTAAATATTAAATTTTAATTATTCTATGCGTTAATACTTTTTTTTTTTTAAAATACACTTACCATTTTATTTATTAATAAATCTTTTTTTTTTTTTTTTTTTTTTTATAAATTGAAAAATGAAAAATAAAAATTTGAAAAAAAAATTTTTTTTCTTTTCCTTTTTTATTTAATTAAATTAAATTAAATTAACAAAAAAAAAGAACAATTTAATTAATAATTAATTTATAATAAAAAGTGGAATTTATTTTAAATAATTAAATATAAAAGATTTATTAATAAATAATAATTAATTATTATTTAATTTTATTTTAAAATATTAATTAAATAAAAAGTGGAATAAAAATATTTTAATTTAATTATTTAATTATTTTGATTAATAATTTATTAATATTTAATAATGAATTTATTTTAAATAATTAAATATAAAATATTTATTAATAAATATTAATTAATTATTATTTAATTTTATTTTAAAATATTTATTAAATAAAAAGTGGAATAAAAATATTTTAATTTAATTATTTAATTATTTTGATTAATAATTTATAAATATTTAATAATGAATTTATTTTAAATAATTAAATATAAAAAGATTTATTAATAAATAATAATTAATTATTATTTAATTTTATTTTAAAATATTAATTAAATAAAAAGTGGAATAAAAATATTTTAATTTAATTATTTAATTATTTGATTAATAATTAATAAATATTTAATGAAATTTATTTTAAATAATTAAATATAAAATATTTATTAATAAATATTAATTAATTATTATTTAATTTAATTTTAAAAATATTTATTAAATAAAAAGTGGAATAAAAATATTTTAATTTAATTATTTGATTATTTGATTAATAATTAATTTATAATAAAAAGTGGAATTTATTTTAAAATAATTAAATATAAAAAGATTTATTAATAAATATTAATTAATTATTATTTAATTTTTGTTTTAAAATATTAATTAAATAAAAAGTGGAATAAAAATATTTTAATTTAATTATTTAATTATTTTGATTAATAATTAATAAATATTTAATAATGAATTTATTTTAAATAATTAAATATAAAAGATTTATTAATAAATAATAATTAATTATTATTATTTTTAATTTTATTTTAAAATATTAATTAAATAAAAAGTGGAATAAAAATATTTTAATTTAATTATTTTTATTAATAATTAATAAATATTTAATAATGAATTTATTTTTAAATAATTAAATATAAAAGATTTATTAATAAATAATAATTAATTATTATTTAATTTTATTTTAAAAATATTAATTAAATAAAAAGTGGAATAAAAATATTTTAATTTAATTATTTAATTATTTGATTAATAATTAATAAATATTTAATAATGAAATTATTTTTAAATAATTAAATATAAAATATTTATTAATAAATAATAATTAATTATTATTTAATTTTATTTTAAAATATTAATTAAATAAAAAGTGGAATAAAAATATTTTAATTTAATTATTTTGATTAATTAATTAATAATTTATAAATATTTAATAATGAAATTTATTTTAAATAATTAAAAATAAAATATTTATTAATAAATAATAATTAATTATTATTTAATTTTATTTTTAAAATATTAATTAAATAAAAAGTGGAATAAAAATATTTTTAATTTAATTATTTAATTAATTAATTAATAATTTATAAGTATTTAATAATGAATTTATTTTAAATAATTAAATATAAAAGATTTATTAATAAATAATAATTAATTATTATTTAATTTTATTTTTAAAATATTTATTAAATTAAAAAGTGGAATAAAAATATTTTAATTTAATTATTTAATTATTTTGATTAATAATTTATAAGTATTTAATAATGAATTTATTTTGAATAATTAAATATAAAATATTTATTAATAAATATTAATTAATTATTATTTAATTTTATTTTAAAATATTTATTAAAATAAAAAGTGGAATAAAGATATTTTAATTTAATTATTTAATTAATTAATTAATAATTAATTTATAATAAAAAGTGGAATTTATTTTAAATAATTAAATATAAAAGATTTATTAATAAATATTAATTAATTATTATTTAATTTAATTTTAAAATATTTATTAATTAAATAAAAAGTGGAATAAAAATATTTTAATTTAATTATTTAATTATTTAATTAACAATTAATTTATATTTAATAATGAATTTATTTTAAATAATTAAATATAAAAGATTTATTAATAAATAATAATTAATTATTATTTAATTTTGTTTTAAATTATTTATTAAATAAAAAGTGGAATAAAAATATTTTAATTTAATTATTTAATTATTTTGATTAATAATTAATTTATAATAAAAAGTGGAATTTATTTTAAATAATTAGATATAAAATATTTATTAATAAATATTAATTAATTATTATTTAATTTAATTTTAAAATATTTATTAAATAAAAAGTGGAATAAAAATATTTTAATTTAATTATTTAATTATTTTAATTAATAATTTATAAGTATTTAATAATGAATTTATTTTAAATAATTAAATATAAAATATTTATTAATAAATATTAATTAATTATTATTTAATTTTATTTTAAAATTATTTATTAAATAAAAAGTGGAATAAAAATATTTTAATTTAATTATTTAATTAATTTAATTAATAATTAATTTATAATAAAAAGTGGAATTTATTTTAAATAATTAAATATAAAAAGATTTATTAATAAATATTAATTAATTATTATTTAATTTTGTTTTAAAATATTAATTAAATAAAAAAAGTGGAATAAAAATAATTTAATTTAATTATTTAATTATTTTGATTAATAATTAATAAATATTTAATAATGAATTTATTTTAAATAATTAAATATAAAATATTTATTAATAAATAATAATTAATTATTATTTAATTTTGTTTTTAAAATATTTATTAAATAAAAAGTGGAATAAAAATATTTTAATTTAATTATTTAATTATTTAATTATTTAATTAATAATTAATAAATATTTAATAATGAAATTATTTTAAATAATTAAATATAAAAGATTTATTAATAAATAATAATTAATTATTATTTAATTTTATTTTAAAAATATTAATTAAATAAAAAGTGGAATAAAAATATTTTAATTTAATTATTTAATTATTTGATTAATAATTTAATAAATATTTAATAATGAAATTATTTTAAATAATTAAATATAAAATATTTATTAATAAATAATAATTAATTATTATTTAATTTTATTTTAAAATATTAATTAAATAAAAAGTGGAATAAAAATATTTTAATTTAATTATTTTGATTAATTAATTAATAATTTATAAATATTTAATAATGAAATTATTTTAAATAATTAAATATAAAAGATTTATTAATAAATAATAATTAATTATTATTTAATTTTATTTTAAAAATATTTATTAAATAAAAAGTGGAATAAAAATATTTTAATTTAATTATTTGATTATTTGATTAATAATTAATTTATAATAAAAAGTGGAATTTATTTTAAATAATTAAATATAAAAAGATTTATTAATAAATAATAATTAATTATTATTTAATTTTATTTTAAAATATTTATTAAATAAAAAGTGGAATAAAAATATTTTAATTTAATTATTTAATTATTTTGATTAATAATTAATTTATAATAAAAAGTGGAATTTATTTTAAATAATTAAATATAAAAGATTTATTAATAAATAATAATTAATTATTATTTAATTTTGTTTTAAAATATTAATTAAATAAAAATGGAATAAAAATATTTTAATTTAATTATTTAATTATTTTGATTAATAATTAATTTATAATAAAAAGTGGAATTTATTTTAAATAATTAAATATAAAATATTTATTAATAAATAATAATTAATTATTATTTAATTTTGTTTTAAAATATTAATTAAATAAAAAGTGGAATAAAAATATTTTAATTTAATTATTTAATTATTTTAATTAATAATTAATTTATATTTAATAATGAAATTATTTTAAATAATTAAATATAAAAGATTTATTAATAAATATTAATTAATTATTATTTAATTTTATTTTAAAATATTTATTAAATAAATTAAATAAAAAAATAAATAAGAAAATAAAAATATTTTAATATAAATAATAAAATTTTTTGAAATTAAAAAATAAGAAAAAGAAAAAAAAAAATTAATTAAGACGCGATGGCCGAGTGGTTAAGGCGGTAGACTAGAATAATTTAAATTTTAAAAATTATGGAAATCTACTTCCCTTTGGGAGCACAGGTTCAAATCCTGTTCGCGTCGTTTTTTTTATTTTTATTTTTTATTAAATTTTTTTTTTTTATTTAAAAGAAAAAGAAAAAGAAAAAGAAGATTTATTTTTTTTAAAGTTTTGAAAGTTCAACTGCAATTTGAGCTCCAATTTTCGCATTATTTTTGATCAAATGTGTATCTTTTTTATTTTTTTATTTTTGATTAAAAATTAAATTAATAAGATTAAAAAATTTTTCCAAATAAATAAATTTTACTTGTTTGAAGAGATTTTCCTTGAGTTAATTCGTTTACTCTTGCTAAAAGAAAAGGAGTTAAATCTCTACCTGAAATTTTTTGATTCTGACTTTCTTGAATAGCTTTTTGAATCGCATTTTCAATCATAACACCTTCAGTTTCATATTTTTTAGGAACAGGAACACCAATTAAAATTCCACTTTTTATCCCAAGATTTGAATTTGTTTTGATTAATTGAGCACATGATTTTGGATCATCTAATCGACAAGAAGAAGGAAATCCAGAATCATGAACAAAAAAAGCTGGGAAATTCTTTACTTGATATCCAACTGTTGGAACACCATTTGTTTCAAGAAATTCTAATGTTTTTGGAATGTCTAAAATTGATTTCATTCCTGCACAAACTACGCATATTGGTGTTCGCATTAATTCCATAAGATCTGCTGAAATATCCATTGTAATTTCAGCATTTCGATGAACACCACCTTAAAATTAAATTAAAATTAAATCAAAATTAAATCAAAATTAAATCAAAATTAAATCCAAATTAAATTAAAATTAAATCAAAATTAAATCAAAATTAAATCAAAATTAAATCAAAATTAAATCAAAATTAAATCAAAATTAAATTAAAATCAAATCAAAATTAAATCAAAATTAAATCAAAATCAAATCAAAATTAAATCAAAATTAAATCAAAATTAAATCAAAATTAAATCAAAATTAAATTAAAATTAAATCAAAATTAAATCAAAATTAAATCAAAATTAAATCAAAATTAAATCAAAATTAAATCAAAATTAAATCAAAATTAAATCCAAATTAAATTAAAATTAAATCAAAATTAAATCAAAATTAAATCAAAATTAAATTAAAATTAAATCAAAAAATTAAATCAAAATTAAAATTAAATCAAAATTAAATCAAAATTAAATCAAAATTAAATCAAAATTAAATCAAAATTAAATTAAATCAAAATTAAATTAAAATTAAATCAAAATTAAATTAAAATTAAATCAAAATTATTAAAATTAAATCAAAATTAAATCAAAATTAAATCAAAAATTAAATCAACATTAAATCAAAATTAAATCAAAATTAAATTAAAATTAAATCAAAATTAAATCAAAATTAAATTAAATTTAAATCAAAATTAAATCAAAATTAAATTAAATTTAAATTAAAATTAAATCAAAATTAAATTAAAATTAAATCAAAATTAAATCAAAATTAAATTAAAATTAAATCAAAATTAAATTAAAATTAAATCAAAATTAAATTAAAATTAAATCAAAATTAAATCAAAATTAAATCAAAATTAAATCAAAATTAAATCAAAATTAAATCAAATTTAAATTAAAATTAAATCAAAATTAAATTAAATTTAAATTAAAATTAAATTAAAATTAAATTAAATTAAATTTAAATTAAAATTAAATTAAAATTAAATTAAAATTAAATCAAATTTAAATTAAAAAATTAAATCAAAATCAAATCAAAATTAAATCAAAATTAAATCAAAATTAAATCAAAATTAAATCAAAATTAAATCAAAATTAAATCAAAATTAAATCAAAATTAAATCAAAATTAAATCAAAATTAAATTAAAATTAAATTAAAATTAAATCAAAATTAAATCAAAATTAAATCAAAATTAAATCAAAATTAAATCCAAATTAAATTAAAATTAAATCAAAATCAAATCAAAATTAAATCAAAATTAAATTAAAATTAAATTAAAATTAAATCAAAATTAAATCAAAATTAAATCAAAATTAAATCAAAATTAAATTAAAATTAAATCAAAATCAAATCAAAATTAAATCAAAATTAAATCAAAATTAAATCAAAATTAAATCAAAATTAAATCAAAATTAAATCAAAATTAAATCAAAATTAAATCAAAATTAAATTAAAATTAAATCCAAATTAAATTAAAATTAAATCAAAATTATATCAAAATTAAATCCAAATTATATTAAAATTATATTAAAATTAAATCAAAATTAAATCAAAATTAAATCAAAATTAAATCAAAATTAAATCAAAATTAAATCAAAATTAAATCAAAATTAAATCAAAATCAAATTAAAATTAAATCAAAATTAAATTAAAATTATATCCAAATTAAATCAAAATTATATTAAAATTAAATCAAAATCAAATCAAAATCAAATCAAAATTAAATCAAAATTAAATTAAAATTAAATCAAAATTAAATCAAAATTAAATCCAAATTAAATCAAAATTAAATCAAAATTAAATCCAAATTAAATCAAAATTATATTAAAATTAAATCAAAATTAAATCAAAATTAAATCAAAATTAAATCAAAATTAAATCAAAATTAAATCAAAATTAAATTAAAATTAAATTAAAATTAAACCAAAATTATATTAAAATTAAATCAAAATTAAATCAAAATTAAATCAAAATTAAATCAAAATTAAATCAAAATTAAATCAAAATTAAATCAAAATTAAATCAAAATCAAATTAAAATTAAATCAAAATCAAATCAAAATTAAATCAAAATTAAATTAAAATTATATCCAAATTAAATCAAAATTAAATTAAAATTAAATCAAAATTATATCAAAATTAAATTAAAATTAAATCAAAATTAAATCAATATTAAATTAAAATTAAATCAAAATTAAATTAAAATTAAATCAAAATTAAATTAAAATTAAATCAAAATTAAATCAAAATTAAATCAAAATTATATTAAAATTAAATCAAAATTATATCAAAATTAAATCAAAATTATATTAAAATTAAATCAAAATTAAATTAAAATTAAATCAAAATTATATTAAAATTAAATCAAAATTATATTAAAATTAAATCAAAATTATATTAAAATTAAATCAAAATTAAATCAAAATTAAATCAAAATTAAATCAAAATTAAATCAAAATTAAATCAAAATTAAATCAAAATTATATCAAAATTATATCAAAATTAAATTAAAATTAAATCAAAATTATATTAAAATTAAATCAAAATTATATTAAAATTCAAATTAAATCAAAATAAATGGAAAAATTTGATCCACTTTGATCTCAAAAAGAAAAGAAAAGAGAAAAGATTCAAACCTATTCCACCAGTAACAAAAACAGGAATTCCAGCCATATGACTAATCATCATTGTACCACTTACAGTTGTACCACCATTTTTCTTCTGAGAAACAACAAAGGATAAATCTCTTCTTGAAACTTTCGTAACATTTCCTTGAATACGTTGTTGAGCAAGGAATTCAAGATCATTTTTAGTCATTCCAACATGAATTTTTCCATTAATAACTCCAATAGTTGCAGGAGTTGCTCCATTTTCTCTCACAATTTGCTCAACTTCTTGAGCTATTTCAACATTTTTAGGATAAGGCATCCCATGAGTTACAATTGTTGTTTCAAGTGCTACGACTGGTTTTTTGTTTTTAAGTGAATTTTGTACTTCTTCTTTGATCTCAAAATATTTTCTTAGTCTTGAATCAATTTCGGTTGTTATTTTTTTGGTTATTTGGTTTGCTATTTGATTTTCTTTTTTAATTGCAAATTTAAAACAATTTTGAAGCATGAGAATGAAATTTTTAGTTTTAGAAAAATAGAAAAAATGAAAAAAAAATTTTTTAATTAATTTTAAATAAAAAAAGAAAATTAATTAAGTATATAAAAAATAATATTTTGAAAAAAAAAAATTAAGAAAAAAAAAAATAAAAGTTTTTTATTTTATTTTGGGGTAGTTAGTTGAGTGGTACAACGCTTGTTTCGCATACAAGAGGCCGGGGGTTCGATTCCCTCACTATCCATTATTTTTTTTTATTTTTATTTTAATTTTATTTTGAATTTTATTTTATTTATTTTTTTAAACTAATTTATTAATTAATTATATTTAAATTAATTTATTTTTTTATTTCAAAAAAAAGTGGAATAAAATATTTTTAATTTAATTTTATTATTTTTTTTATTTTAAATTTATTCTTTTAATAATTTAATTTTATTCTAAATTTAATTTTATTTATTTTTTTAAACTAGTTTATTTATTAATTATATTTAATTTTAATTTATTTTTTTATTTCAAAAAAAAAAGTGGAATAAAATATTTTTAATTTAATTTTATTAATTTTTATTTTAAATTTATTCTTTTAATAATTTAATTTTATTCTAAATTTAATTTTATTTATTTTTTTAAACTAATTTATTTATTAATTATATTTAATTTTTAATTTATTTTTATTTCAAAAAGTGGAATAAAATATTTTTAATTTGATTTTATTAATTTTTGTTTTAAATTTATTCTTTTAATAATTTAATTTTATTTTAAAATTTTAATTTTATTTATTTTTAAATTTTATTTTTATTTATTTATATTTTTAATTTTATTTTTATTTTTTTTTTTGAATTTATTCTTTTAATAATTTCAAAAAATTTTTATTTTATTTATTTTTAAATTAATTTATTTATTAATTATATTTAATTTTGATTTATTTTTATTTCAAAAAGTGGAATAAAATATTTTTAATTTGATTTTATTTTTATTCCCTTTACTATCCATTATTTTTATTATTTTTATTTTTAATTTTATTTAGATTTAATTTTATTTTTTTTAAATTAATTTATTAATTAATTATATTTAATTTTAATTTATTTTTATTTCAAAAAGTGGAATAAAATATTTTTAATTTAATTTTATTAATTTTTTTGTTTTAATTTTATTCTTTTAATAATTTAAATTTATTTTGTTTTAATTTAATTTTATTTATTTTTTTAAATTAATTTATTTATTAATTATATTTAATTTTATTTATTTTTTATTTCAAAAAAAAGTGGAATAAAATATTTTTAATTTGATTTTATTAATTTTTTTGTTATTTTCCTTTTTGAAAATAAATTCAAATCCATTTTCTTTTTTTCTACTTAATTGTTCCCAGCCATTAATCCAAAAAAGATCGCTAAAAAAAGTAAACTTTTTTAAATAAAAATAAAAATAAAAATAAAAATAAAAATTCTTAAAAATTCCAAAATTGAAATTTGTGTTTTTCTTTATTTTTTACCTCATAAAACCCTCAGAAGAATTATCTCCAATAGCATTGATATCATTTATAAGTGGCAAGCAACAAACAACACAGCAACAAATAACAAAAAAAGTAAGAGACATTAAAACAAGCACTGTAATTGAATCTCCCAAAGCAACTTCATATAATTTTCCACATTCATCTTTCTATTTAAAATATTTATCGATTCAAATTAAATTAATTCCAAAAAAAAGTGGAACAAAATTTTATTTGATATTTAAAAATTTTAAATTAATTTTTTTACACATTTTGTTGCCCAAACTATTCCAATTATTGACCAAGCTAAAAGGAATAAATTTGAAATAATTTGAAATCCAATTTTAAATTTCGCCCAACTATTAGGAATAATAATAGAAGAGAAAAGAGAAACTGCAAAAACAATATTGCAAACCAAAATCCAATTCCAAAGAGGTTTTGAACATCCCTTTTAATTTTTTAATTTTTTAATTTGGAATTTTTTTAATTTTTTAATTTGGAATTTTTTTAATTTTTTAATTTTTTAATTTTACAATATCTTTATCTTTATAAGCAACTCCAAGTGATGGACCAATAAAAGCTCCAATACAAATTATTGTCATACAATATGAAACAGATTTATTTCCTATTGATTGCTCTCTTTTCTGCTGTTGTAAATCTAACATAATTTTTAAATTTTAAATTTTTAATTTTTTAAAAAAAAAAAAGAGAATATCAATTACAAAGTTCTGTATTTTGGAACATTTCTTAAAATAAAAATAAAATGAAAAATAAAATGAAAAATGAAATGAAAAATAAAATTTTGTTTTTGCTTTTTTTTTATTTGAGAAGAAAAAAAGTAAATTAATTAATCGGTTCTAATCGATTCTGTCTTAATTTTGGAAAAGAAAAGAAAAAAAAAAAGAAAAAAGAAGAAAAAAATTTGAATTTAGTTTTTAAAAAGAAAAAATTTAATCTGTTAAAAATCTCTCCATAAATTCTTCAAAAAGAGGAATCAAAGAAGTATCTTGAGAACGAGTTGCCAATTGACAAGATTGATTTTCCTGGTCAATACTCAATTCTATCAAGAAAATAACGGAATTAACAAGTTTAAGAGAGAAATAAAGAATATCAATAGAACCTTCTTGTCTTTTGGCAATAAAGAAGATATTCAAGTTTGCAAGTTTCATTTTCAAAATATCGGGATTAGTTTCAGATAAACCTTGGATTTCCTTGATTCGTTCATCATCATCACTAATTGCTTTCCAATGATTTAAAAAGTTTCTTTTTTCAATTTTTCCGTCTTCTGTGAAGAAAATATTCATTGGCGAAGTGCATTGAGTATAAAATACTTCGAAATTCTTAATTGCAATTTGAACTTCAAGTGTAGCTTCATTTGCGGGTAATTTATGCGACTGAATAATTGGGCAGACAACGCTGCATTCTGTTGTTTGTCCGGGCATGATTCCAGTGATCGGTACTTGAGCATTTGGTTTCATCCCAAATAAATTCTTGTTGAATACCATTGCAAGCTTCCCAAATGGATATGATGTTCGATTGCTGATTGTAAGATCAAAGTAGATTTGTTGCTCTCGTCGCCGAAATGCTGCGCTTACTATCATTCCTTTTCCCCGTTCTTCATCAATGATTTCTTCTTTATCAACAATTACTTCCTTTTATATCAATTAATAATTAAATATTAAAATAAATTAAATATTAAATATTAAAATAAATTAAATATTAAATATTAAAATAAATATAAAATATTAAATTAAATATTAAAATATTAAATTAAATATTAAATTAAATATAAATATAAAATATTAAAATAAATTAAATATTCAAAATAAATATTAAATATTAAATATTAAATTAAATATTAAATTAAATATTTTATCATCCCAAATTTGTTATAAATTTAGTATCTACATCATTTCGTTGTGCTATCTCCATTTCAAACATTTCTTGATCAGGAGAATCATTCCGTTGTTGAGGAATGGATTTAGTTTTCACTATAGGTGGTGGTTGACTATCTGCAAAATTAATCAACTGACCAATTTGTTGAGTTTCCATTTCATTCTTTTTTTCTCTTTCAATTTTCTTTTCTTTTTCTTTTTCTTGAACTTGCAAAATTCCACCATCATCTTCATCATTAGAATTATCATCATCCTCTTGGGCAAAAACCTTAGCACCACTAATAAAAGTTTCAGGCAATTTATGGAACACACTAGAAAGCGTTGAGATTTGGGATAAAAGTTTACCGAGCAATTTGGAATCGTATTTGAAAGAAATAGTATCAATTAAGGGTTTTTCTCCTAAAATGATATTGTTTGCTTCTTCAAAACCAGCATCCACGAGCCGAAAGTACATAAAAGCTCTGTCACGCAGATCGGGATTGTCCGATTCGTTTGTTGCTGTTGATAAAACTTGCTCTAGAATTTCTTGTCCTTCGTCTGGTTTTGAAAGAAATAATTTCACTGAGGATGTCAATAATTGAAGTTGCACTTCTGGATCTTCTTCATGGAAATTAAACAGAAAAGCCTTCAAAAGCTCATCGGCATTGTCAATTCGATCTGAATATTCTCCAATGATCCAAACCATGGAAGCCTTTGCTTCGGGTTGATCCAAACTTTGTAAATTCTCGCATAAAACTCCAATGATACTCTCGTATTGATTTGGGTATCTTCGGAAAATATCCCGAACAACAATAATAACTTCTTGAACAATGTAATTGATTTTTGTCTTCACTAATTCTATCAATACTTTCACACACGCTTGTGCTGCTTTGGAAAGTTTGATTGCACATTTCCCAATTGCATTGACTGATTTACGCACAAAATCAACATCCACTTCTTTTGCGTATTCTGTAAATTCAATCAGTAATTCGTTGATGTTTGAATTCGTTGCAAGCATCACAAGAATATCAACTTTCTCCATTTTGATATAAACTGGATCTTTGTATTTGCAGAAAAATACTTTTGCATCTTTGATTAATAGTTTTGGGAATCGTTGAACAAATAAATTGATATTTCGAAGTGCGACATATTGAACTTCGGGATTGTTGTCCATTAAACTGACTAAAGATGGTGCCATTTTTCTTGCAAATTGAAGAATGATTTCTTTTTCTTCGATAAATGTGAACATTTTTAAGATTAAACGCACTGATGACAATACAACTGCAGAGTTTTTATGTGATAACCGAGGAACTACTCGATCAATGATTTTCTCAGCTTCTTTTGGTGATGGAGGTTGGTATTCCATCAAGCTTTCCAAGAGGAAGACTTGGCCCCATCTGAATAATTTTAATTTTAATTTTAATTTTAATTTTAATTTTAATTTTAATTTTAATTTTAATTTTAATTTTAATTTTAATTTTAATTTTAATTTTAATTTTAATTTTAATTTTAATTTTAATTTTAATTTTAATTTTAATTTTAATTTAATTTTAATTTTAATTTTAATTTTAATTTTCATTTTTATTTTAATTTTAATTTTAATTTTAATTTTAATTTTATTTAATTTTATTTAATTTTAATTTTTATAAATTACTCTGTTGATTCATTAATTGCTGATGTTATATATTTCTCGTTTTCTTTTGTAACTTGAAAAACTGGTTCTGGACTTGCATTACTAATTTCCATTAAAGTTGCAACAGTATTAGAAACTACCATAGAATTTGAATCTGAAAGTAACTTTGTTAAACGATCAACAAATCCATGCTTTTTGACAAGTTCAGGATTTATATCAAATAGTTTAGCAACAGCAAGAACTGCTGTTTT